TGTGAATTGTACATGAACAAAGGTATAATGACTGCCAGGCGCTTTGCAGTTTGCTTGGTAGTTTTTTAAAAAGTAAATGAAAAATATTGAAGTGTTTAATTTTTCAAGGCTTTTAGGATGAAGTTAAAGCTAGCAACATGACCCAGGTACACTATTAATTATCTTCAGTTAAAATGCTGCATTCCCTCTTCAGTTTATCTTTGTACAAGAGGCAGGATTTTACTTTAACATTTTCCTTCATTTTCTCTCCAACTCAGTCCTGCAGTTTTAGCTGAAGCCATGCTCTGTTTTGTTTTGGAATGAGTTCACACATTACACCTAAGACTAAGGGATTTGCAAGGATTTTTGTGTTGTGTGAACCCAGGTTTATGTAATCAACTATGGATAAGCTAACAATCTCATCATGTGCTGTATAAATATGGTCTAGTTATAGAACAATCTTGCCAAACATGTGCCTGAATAGGTATGATTCTGCCATAGCCAAATATATCTTGTGCATGTGGTAGGAGAGGTTCAGGATGAGAAGCTAATTACATATATACTAATTACATATATAATATGTCTGTTCATTGGCACCTGACTTCCAGGTTAGAGGAATCATAAGAGAATTCAATGTTTGGATTAGATTTCCAAAAAGGGAAAGAAGATGTTGCTTTTTCTTTCTTTCTTTTTTTGGGTTATTACAAAATTCCATGTAGCTCTTTTGTCAACAATGCAAAAGTAGATTGCCACTGTCCTTTTCCAGGATATTTATAGATATGCTCACATCCCTACCTAGACGACTGTCCTGGGATTTCCTGGTACTGTAGACTCACATCCAGTTCAATTCTACTTTTTATGATCAGTCAAGGTCAATAGGAGATGCCACCTGCTATGACAAATAAGTCAATGCCCACATCCAAATATGCATATCACATTAATCCCCATGGACTTTGAGCCACATAATAGGCATGTTGTGTGAACTTACCCATAATTTACATTGGCTGGATTGTCACATGGCATTAAGTCACAATGTGATTTGACTGATTTTAACATAATTCCATGTATGAATCTTCCTATTTCTGACTTAGTTAACTATGTCTAATTCTTATTGGCATTGGTGTATTTGTATGCCTGTGCAAATCATTTGAAGAAGCAAACTGTTCTTCTGGATCTGCTTCAGGCATGAAGTCACTGAATGCTTTGAGGCCATTCTGAAGTTTTCTGGCTACATCCAGAAACCTTATGGAATTGCTATATATTCTTTTGCAATTGCCTGTTTATAATTTGGGAAAAGGAAAAACAACTAAGCTTTCCCTGGATATTCTCATTTTGGGGGGTTACAATCAGTGTACAAACTGTGCCCGTTCCCCCGAGATTTGGTTAGTGATTAATCAGCAGATGGTATCTAAAGTGTGGCTAATTCCTTGTTGTTAAATAGGGATTTTCTTTTTT